CTAGATTAAAAGGAGATTTACACAGTGCAATGGTTCAAGCCAAATTACAGCATCAACATTAAAACTCAATCTACTAACACCAGGGCTGGGTGCATGACGCAGCAGGCGAGTCTGCCCGGGGTCCCTGGATAGCAGATCATATTATGGAACAAGTATATGTCCAGAGGCCGTTTCCCTCCAACAGCTAAGAACAGGAAACACATCAAGTTCCAGCACTGAGCTGCAGGCGCTGCACCACTGAAAATGACTCATATTTGAACTGTGTAAGTCTATACAGTTTTATATAATATCTTAACACCACACCCAGAAATCAACTCCCTATACTATGCTCCAGCCACCTTTAACCTACATTCAAAGAAAATGTGTAGTATCTTTTTTCTCTCGATATATTACAGTCCCTTCCTGTTTAACATGAGATTTGGTGCTCACTTGTATCAGACAAGAAGTAGGGCCTCGTTCCGTCCCTTCACAGAACACAGTCCATCAGGGACAAGAGCCAATCCAAAGCTCCTCTGGCACTGATGACAGACCCAGGACTCTGGCCTAAGGTCCTCAGGCTCTACTCCATATCTCCACTAAAAAAAAAAAAAAAAAACAAGCCACCCACAGCCTCGAACACCCATAAGCATTGCCCTTGCCTCATAAGCTCACTCTTTGCTATACAGCCCGTATCTCCCTTGACTTTGTGCCTATGACACCAGAAAACAGAGTCACAACAGGGAGTACATGGAGGTAGGGGCAGTTCTTCCTGGCCCAGAAAACAGTCCTTTGAAAAGCCTCAGTTACAGACATTTTTAGAAACACAAAACTTCTTTTACCTTTCATTTAAGCAAGAGAAGAGAATCCACGTGAACGTGAGCTTAAGTCATCTCTAGCGTACTGCCCTGAACCAGGAAGAGCCTGAGGATCTCACACCTAACCAGCTGAGCTGCAGGGCTATCTGAGGCAGAGACAAGTTAGGCTCACAATCATGTGTGACTGCTGAAGGAAGTCTGTAGCAAGTCTGAGCGCTGGCTTCTAAAATCCTGCTACTGTCTGTTTGGTGGACCAGCAGGGTCAGCAGCCCCCGGGGAACAAGGCACAATCTCAGGGTCACTCCAGACCCATGACTTCGGAATCTTCAATTTAACAAAACTGTCAGGTAGTCATTGAAAGCTCAAGTTCAACACGCAGTAACCCAATGGCTGTGTGGTCTGCACCAATACCTTGCCTTCTTCCTCCATGGTCAAAGCCCTGCTTTTTGGAAACACAGGAACTGGAGATGCCACTGAAAGCCCTCTCGAGAAGCGGGCTGCCCTGGTGAGCAAGGAACTCAGGACAATCAGCTTCTGTCTGCGGCAGGCAGCTCCAATTAGTGCAACTGAAAAGCAGAGACTAGACAGACCTCAGACAACTAGCAGATCCTCATAAGGCCTGCAAGTGTCCACAGCAGGTTCTCACACAGCCTCTCACAGGCTGCAGGCTTTGTGACTTTTATTTATCTGCTTGGTTGCCTTGGAAACTTATACTGATGCATTTTTATTTGCCAAAAAAAATAGTCATAAATAAAAGGAAAAGGGAAAGGAAGCACATTGAGATCTGACCATCTGGAAATGGCCTGAGACCCTGTTCCTGTTGGTCATAACAACAGTGACCTTGTTCGGCTGTGTCATTCTGGCAGGGTTTCTATGACCTTAAAGGAATCCTGGAGCCCACCCATGCTCCACGCTGCATTCTCCATGCATGTAAGCTGGTTCGTGCCCCCATGCCATGTGCCTGTCTCCCCGACTCCAACATACCACATTCTCTGACAGGCTAGTTAATGAAGGCAAGGCTCTTCTGGGACAGCTGAAGGCCCTTGGCATTTGTCAAACAGCTTCAGGGAAGCTGAAACACTGCTGAGGCCTTTCACAAGGCCCCAGACACTGTTTTTCACTTCCAACCAAGAGGGCAACGCTCAAATGCGAAATTTGAAAGGTACAAAGTAAGCATCCCCAGGGTATGGTACGTTATAATGCCCTGACCCAGACTTCAGGCATACTTAGCTTCGCTTGTCAGCATGCTCAAGGTTAAAAATAAGCACATGGAAGAGGCATGTAGCTCTCCCTCCCAGTTCAAAAGGAAGTTCTGTCCTGAGAACTGATGAGCCAGGAAGCAACCAGCCACTACCAACCTCCCAGGGATTCCCACCACAGGTAACACAGCACTAATTAATCACTTGTTTTTCTTTCATTGAGTACTTCTGGGCCCTATTTCATTTCTCCTTTCTAATTCTACCTTCAAAATTGCTTTTTATTTCCTTGGACTTTGTGATTTCAGTTTCATTTCACATGTAGCCAATTCTCTACAGATTTAACAGGCAGCTTCCTAACTTTTTTTGATAACTCAGGTTACTGCTAAGACAAGAAGTCATTTCCATTGTGTATGCCGTAGTACAGTCTTTTTTTTTAACTAATTTATTTTTTATATTAATCACAGGTTATTTACTTTGTATCCCAGCCGTAGCCCCCTCCCTCCTTCCCTCCCAATCCCACCCTCCCTCCTTAATCTTCTCCCTGCCCCTTTCCAAGTCCACTAATAGGGGAGGACCTCCTCCCCTTCCATCTGACCCTAGCTTATCAAGTCTCTTCAGGCCTGGCTGCAATGTCCTCTTCTGTGGCCTAGCAATGTTGCTCCTCCCTGGGGGAGGGGGGGTGTCGAAGAGCTCGCCGTTGATTTCATGTCAGAAATAGTCCCTGTCCCCCTTATTCGAGAACCCATTTGGACACTGAGCTACTATGGGCTATATCCGAGCAGGGGTTCTAGGTTATATTCATATATGGTCCTTGGTTGGAGAAACAGTCTCATGAAAGACCCCTGTGCCCTGATATATTTGGTCCTTGTGGCGCTCCTGTACTCTCCAGGACTTACCAACTCCCCCTTCTTTCATATGATTCCCTGCACTCTGTCGAAGGTTTGGTTATGAGTCTTAATATCTGCTCTGATACACTGCTAGACACACATGGTATATACTCACTTATATAAACCTATAAGATAGGATAAATATACTGAAATCTATATACCTAAAGAAGATAAACAAGAAAGAGGACTCGGGGTGAGATGACCAATCCTCACTTAGAAAGACAAATGGGATGGACATTGGAAGTAGGAGAAAACAAGTAACAGGACAGGAGCCTACCACAGAGGGCCCCTGAAAGACTCTACCTAGCAGTGTAGTACAGTCTTACAGGTACTTTCTAGATGCACTTTCAGCGAGGACAGGCCCCATCCCAACTGCAGAGTGGAAAAAAAAAAATCGGATCTGGACCAGAAAGCCTCAGGGAAGAGTCACTTTCTGTGACTTGCTCTCCTCTCTCAGAGCAGCCATCTTGTAGCTTGTATCTGATGGTTGGCATAAAAAGGTAAGCAGGGAGAACCACTCCTAACTTAGCAAGGAGTCGCTGGAAGCAGACGCTACATCAGGGACAGAAGCAGGAAAGTACAGAAACACGGCTCATAGAAGTTGGGGTGGGAGCTAGGCTCCATGGCGCATGTCTGTAATCCCAGCATTCAGGGAGGAAGAAGCAGGCGGATAGGGAGTTTGAGGCCAGCCTGGTCTATGAAGTGAGTCCAGGACAGCCAGGGCTACACAGAGAAACCCCTCAAAATGAAAAGCTGGGGTGGGGAACACCGCAAGCTAGTCCCAAGAGGGCAGGTTAGTGGAGAGGGATGGGCACAGAAGAGGTAAACCCCAAGTGGTCAACTGTCACTGTCAGAAACTCAGTTCTCCCAGCCTTAACATAAAATCCACTTTACCTGAGCTATTTTTTGTTATGTGGCGTATAAGCCAGTCTACGACAAGACTTGTTTTCTCCTGGGTACATTCAAAGTAAGAAACAGCTTTCGTAAAAAATAAAAGATGCTACGGCAATGAAACATAGCCTTGCCAAAAGATAACTCCCAACTTAGAGGATCAGATAGGTGAGAGCAACTTAAGAGGTGTTGAAAGAGGAAGGGATAGGTGTTCTTCGCTACTCTAACAACGATACACTGGCAAACATGGTACCTGGCCTATGTCTGAGAAACACAGACACTGCAACTCCAGGGAAAAACACAAAACAAGAGCTGTGTGATGCAAGAGAAATAAAAGTTTCCTTAATATAAAGAATTCTGACTATGTTGGGCCCTAGGCTGGGGGGATTGTAAGGGTTCTTTGCAAGGTCTTCACAGGGGATCACACCAGGAGCTGCCATCCCATCGCTCCGAAATGAGCAGCAGTGGAGCTGAAAAAGATGTAATAGTAAAACCTGAAATTCAAAATTGGCCACAGAAATGCAGGAGAACAGAACCATCTGCAGCCTGATTAAAATGACAGAAAACGGCTCCCGCTACCCCAGTCTGCTGGGGAAGAGCACTCTAAACCATAATCAGGAGAGATGAGCCTTTCTCTGGGGGCATGGCTCCTCTACACCACCATGCAAACACCAGCAGCTGTCCGCGCGCTAGGTGCGGTGAAATGAGTGCGTGCTAGTCAGGGTCACCAATCAGCACAGGATGTGGGAGGCGGAGGCAGGAGAACCGCCCTAAGTTCAAAGCCAGCTAGTGGTTCACCCAGTGAGCAGTAGGCCTGACAGTTACACAGTAAGAAACCAAACCCAAACTGAGCAAAACGTAAAACAAGTCTCCAGCCAACCTGCGAGGTGAAGATGAAGCTACTTTTAAAAGTTACAGAAACAGTGTTGGTAAACATTTGAAGTTAACCAAACTGCAGTGTTGCCGGCCAAGTGTGGTGAGAAGTGCCTGGGACCCTCACTCTCGAGCGCTGGGGTGCGAGGGCTGCAAGGCAAGGGCAGCCTGAGCTACAAAGGGAGACTCTGTCTTAAGAACGTGGAACTTCAATCTCATTAATTTCCATACAAAAAAGCACACACGTAGCGTTCCCATAACCGGAAAAGGTGTTTCCTTTACACACTCATTTTTATTAATCATGTCCCCACCATCAAAAAAGACAAGAGGGCGATCTAAGTGGGAGATCTTCTTACCATTTCGAGACACGTCAAGTTCCACCAGCTGCATGAAGTTTGCTATTTCTGGAGGGAGTCGCTGAATTTCATTATCACTGAGTCCAAGCTTTCGTAATTTGACTAGCTGAAAAAATTGCTGAAAAAGAAAATGGTTTTACATAGGTTTCATATATATTTGTATGGCCCTTTGAGCTAACAGAACATTTCACTTTGTCTTTTAAAACTAATGAAGACTACAGTGATGTCAATTTCCTGATTTGAGTAGAAAACTTATAAAATTTATATGAAATATCTTCATATTCAAATATAAAATATAAAAGCACCTTTGTTGCATGTCTCTCAGGACATATAAATTCCTATCCACATAGTATATTTTTAAAGGTGTTTTAAAACTGAATAAGCAACCTCATGAGAATAGATTGTCACATCTTCTATGTACCTAAATATTAAAACTATGATATTAAATAGACATGTAAACATAAGAATATATTTTCAAAGAACTTTAATAAAACTGTCTGTATAAAATATAGCACATTAATTCTATTGGTTATAGATGTAATATCTCACATTGTACGCAACAAGTAAAGAAATCCTCTGACCAGGAATCCAAGTCTACACTGGATTCCCACAACTGCAGCAGACTGAGTATGTAGTCTTTCTCCTACAGCATTCACCAATGTACTAAAATTTATACAGATGAACATAAATATAAAAATATGCAATAAGCCTTTGAAGACTCCTAACATACAAAGCAATAAGGAAACTAGAGAGTGATGCAACAATATTCTTTTTTTAAAAAATTCGCTTTACATCTTGGTTGTAGCCCCATCCCTCTTCACCTCCCAGCACCACCACCCTCCCTCCCTCCCTCCCTCCCTCCCTCCCACCCTCCATCCATCCCTATTCCTCGGCAAAGGGGAGGCCCCTTCCCATCCACCTCAGCTCATCAAGTCGCATCAAAATTCTCACAGCCAAAAATTGGGACAAATAATAATAAAGTTTAAAAGAGAGAGAGAGAGAGGGGTGCTGTATGTAGCCATAAAGAAACTGGGTCAAGTACCTCTAACAGGAGAAAACTGACTGAAAATTCATTTTTAAAAAACAGTTAAATTCTTGTCTTCTCGTCTCTGTCCTTCACAGCCAGGCCAAAATAATAATAATAATAACAACAACAACAATTGAAAGCCCGGGGGGTGAGGAGGTTAATGACAAGAATAAGGCAAACCTAATTTTCAAAAACTAGTCAAAGGCTATTGGTGGGAGCATAACCTCTTGTCTGCAGGCAACCAGGACCCCAGGCATGGGCACAGTTCTAGAGATACCAATCAGCCCAGGGAGGAGCGGACATGATGTCCTCCACCCCCAGCACTCACACAGTTTCTGCACATGTTCATCTCACACACATTCCCAGGACCTGGGTCTCCAGATTCCCTAGATACCCAGGGGAGAGCCTACAAAATACAAGAGGCCAAGTGTGTACGTATGCACATGAAGGAGCGCGCGCGCGCGCACACACACACACACACACATATACACACACACACACACTAACTGAACAGGGAACCAAGAAAACTTCAGCTAAAATGTACAGCATCCTGGGGAGTAGGGGAGGATATCAAGCTGAAACTGTACGTTACCAAATCAAGAACATTTTGAATTAAACACTTACAAATTTAACAGTATTGTGGCCTCCACAAAAGGATCTAAGAGAAGACAGATAAAATTTAAAGTTCCCCAGAAGTTTAGCAAAGCTCAGAGATTGTGAAATGGGAGGGGAGTGTACAAGAAAACTAGACGGCTCCACAAGTAACAGTCCCTGTAATCATATGGAGCACAAACACGTGAGGCCTTCTGGTTCCCAAGGGCACACCATCAGGACAACAAACGTGTTAGGGTTTGGATGCGATCTGTCTTCCAGAGCTTCACGCCTGAAACACTCCCCAGCTGGCGGTGCTAAGGGGAGGAGGTTTATGGGAGCTTCCGCAGGGGTGACCTAGCAGGAGAAAGTACATCACCATTACTTGGTGGTGAAGAGCCCAGATCCGGGCTTCACACTCCGTCCTCTGATCTGAACCAGCCCCGCCTCTGTGCTCACATGAATGCACCTCTTCCCTCTTGTTTCTTTTAAGTTATTCTGCCCACAATAGCGCAAAAATAACTAACATAGAACAGAAAACACAATTAAGGAATATGGTAAACTACAGAACTGTAGTTTTTAAACTTGCAGAGATGACTGAAGTAACGGGAAAAAGACTTAACAGGGAGCTTGAACGCAAAATGGCACTAGACACGACACAAACCTGAAGTAGAAAGTCAATGGCACACTGCCATTAAAAAGACAAGAGGTTATTCTCCACCCAAACATGAAAAATTTGCTTTTCCCACACTTTCCCCAGAAATCTATAAAAATATGGGCATAAATTTAAAAGAATGATATGATATTCAGGATACAGAACTCAGCAAGATAAAAGAAATCCTCAGAGCAAAATCAGAGAGATTCCCATATGACCCTGAGCCATAAGCCCTATGCATAGGCTCCCAGATGGGAGTTTTGAAAAATATGGATAAAAACATATCTCATGGATTATCTGATGTGGTATGAAGTACAAAGTAGTCTGCAACTCTGACTGTTCAGTGATAAATCAGAAACAGATATGAAAACAACAAAACAAGCAAATGGGGATGGATTAATTCCAGGGAAGGTATAGCAAAAGAAGAAAAAAATCATTATATAAATGTAAGGTTTGGCTAGGAGGAATACACAACAGTCTCAATCATGTTATACCCTCTACACTGATTTAAAAAAAAAAAACACATTATGACCATAACAGAAAGGCAAGAAACTAAAGATGCATCTCAACTTCCACTAAAGGACACCTACAGAGAGCTACAAGATGAGACAAACAAGCCACTGACCATAAGGAAGCATAGCTATAGAGGTACCACAGAGCAGGAGCTTCTCAAAAGCCCAGGGAAGAAAGTGGCCTCTGGAGGAGGAAAGAGACCCCTGTTCTTCAGCACCATGGTTCCTGGCTGATTAGAATTGTGAAATGACTGCATACATTGCATTGTTAAAAATAGAAGATGAATTTACAAAGGAGAGAGTCTACAGTACGATGACAGGATGCTCCAAATGTTGATTGTGAGAGGCTAATACTGACTAGTTGTCTTCTCCTTTTACTGGTTATTAAAAAAAGAAAAGAGCTAATGTTGATATAATGATCCGAATGGGGCAAAATGTTCTCAAGTCTACTGATACATTTGGCACCTCTCCTCACACTATAACTAAACAGCAAAAGTAAGCATAATGCACAAATATGTCTTTACATTATGATGTTAAAATTTAAACTCGGGAGCACATTGCGAATAATTAAATAGGTTTGCCAACCTATTTGATTATTATAAACACAATAGAACTTGAAAAGGCAAAAAGAAAATCCAAAGCAAAACAACGTTTCAGATTCTCTTAAAAAAAAAAAAAAAAGAAAGAAAGAAAGAGCCATGCTGACTACAGGGAGAGAACACTGGGTGGGATGGAAGTAGATCACACTTAGGTCAGGTGACAAGAATACTGCATGTCGTTTTTAAGATTAAGAACTACAGATTATTTAAATGAAATATGAATCTGCACAAACGGTACTACTAATTGGACATATAGGATAATGAAGAAGACGCTCAATGGAGGCTAATCCTTGAGATTCTTTAACCATCGGCTGAGGTTTATTTTAAAGGATGGTAACCTCTTTATACTAGCTGTACTAAAGCACTAGCAAACACAAAAGCCATTGAAAAGAATCACATATTTGAATAACTGAGCAGATGCCAATTGTTCAAAGAGTCTGACAGTTTCATAATACATCAATGTGTTTACTCAAGTATGAAAAGCTTACTTTGTTTTCCAAGAAAGGCGTAATAGCAAAAAAGTACAAAAGCCATTACCCATTCCATGCATCCAGGGCCCGCTGGTATACAGCACAAGAAATCAAGTAAATCAGGTGCTCGGGCTGCAGTAAATAACAAGGACAGCCTACACATCCCCACATCTAACAGAGGTCATGACAAGCAAACAAGTTTGGGGTTTTGTCCCACAGGTTGAAAGCATCCTCACCTACAGCCTGTGCCAAATACTGCATCATGGAAGTCAGCATGAAAAGGAGCGACTAACTGTAAGAGTACAGTGTGCCATCATCTCAGAATGAACCCAGGGACTCCTCAGTCCTTTCCCACAGTAGCCTGATGGATCTAACCAATATTCTAAATCACCTGCTACTTTCTTACACAGTTGAGGACATGTCACTCAAACTGTATCACACTGCAAATTTTCAGCTCCCTTACAGAGTCGGAGAAAAGAATTCATAAGCTATAAAACCTCTGTGCCTTGCTTCTGAAAACAGCCAGGGCACACGGAGAACAATTTGGGTAGCTCTTCTGGCAGGGTGCCTGAGCACTGAGCAATCATGTGATAGAACACACAGCAACACTATTCTTCAAATCTACATGTTTGATTACAGCTCACTGACCCACTTAGGCCACATTCAGTACAATTATATTCAGAGAAACCCCATTGCCCTGGGTTGTTACACAGCACCAGGCTCCTTACAGCCACTATTGTTTTTAGCAGATACTGAGCCTTTCATTCAACAAAACAAAATGCTGTTCCCATTATCTATCTGACAAGGTCTTTTGCCCCCTTGGTACCATTAATACTTATTTTCTGCATTTGAAAAAAAGGGCAAAGAAAAACTCAGTTCCCAAAGGGGCTGCATTCTTTCATGTTACTATATGGCCAACCATAAATCAGTTGTACCCAAATTCGTCAAATTCCTCCATAAAGTAGAGAAGAACCACCGTTATGGCTTTCCACAGAACAACAGTGTCAATAATGCCACAAACCTCTGAAAAACTGTAGGCAGGCTGCAATCCATTTTCCATTTCAAATAACTTAATATATAACTTAAATCAACTATCCCTGTCCTCATTAAGTTAGGCTCCCTTTCTGATCAACCACCTATACAGATACTGTAAACCAGAAGCATTTCTTACAAAATCAGGAACAGGACAGGGGTGCAATTGTGCCCAATCTCATCCAACACAGTGCTGGAAGACTGACATCAAAGACAAAAGAAACAAAGGGGA